ACAGAGGGAGGGCTCTAACCACTAGGTCCCCTCCGGAGTGGAAACGGGCGAGGGGATGGTGGAGAGAGAGAGAGACAAGGGCCCCGGATTCCGCCCTGCCTGCTTGAGGCGGCCTCTTTGGCGAACGAGGGCGAGGGGGTTGGTGGCAGGGGGGAAATCCGCCTCCAGCCACTAGGCAGCCCTGCCCTTCGAAGGCATGTGGCTCCTGTGGCCATCTTTTATTGTTTATTTTTATTTGAAATGGTTTTGCTTCCACTTTTTACCCTGGGAAGAAAGGAAGTCCCCCCCAATCTGCGCCAGGGCCTGCCCTCGCCCCTTCTGGCCAGGGTTGAGGGCTGGGGGGGCCTGTCTGTCCATCTCTGTGTCCCTTTCTTTGCTTAAAGCCTGGCTCTTGAGTTCCAGCCGCCAGCCTGGCTCTGGGCATTGCGCTCCAGGGCCCTCTGTGGGTCCGGTGCTGTTTTTTCAATGTTGCCAGGTGGAAGAGCCCCAAAGGCCTCAGCAAACTGGAGTCCAGGCACGTACCAGGGCCCCCAGTCTGTCTCCTTTGGGCTGGGCCCTTGGCGGCGACGCCTGGGATTCAAGACATTGGGGGGATGCTTGATCAAGGGAAAGCTGCCTTCTGCACATCAGTCCTTTTGCCTTCTGCACATCAGTCCTTTTGGACGCTGCCTCTATGTTGTCTACCCGGATGGGCAGCAGACGGGGGGGGGGAATCTGGCCATCAGTAAATGGGCCCCCCTCCCCATTTTAGGTCACGCGGGCCTGAGGGATTGTCAGCTTGTGCCTCTGCCTTTAGTTCTGTCCTTTTTAGAAAAGATCCCTTGGCTCTGTAGCCATATGCCAGTTGCCAAGAAAAGCCTCTATTCTTCCTGTTTAAGCCACTGCCAAAAAAAAACCACAAGCGCAGACCACGTGGTATTTTGTTGTAAGGCTTTTTTTCCTTTGGCTGCAACGTACTACGTGCACATGCTTCTCTTTTTACATTGTTTGGTTTCCATGTTTTGGGATGGGAAGGACCAATTGGAAACAATCCCGAAGCAGCCCGACTGTGGTTCAGTGCATTGTCACCTTGAGGAAAAGTCACTAGGACTGTACGTGTGTCTTTTCCCTTGAGAGTACTTTGTCTTATATTAATTTTTGAGAGTACAATGTCTTAATATTAATTTCTGCTCTAAAAATGCATTAGGGCTTATTTTCACAGGATGCTTCATTTTACAGTCATGTCCTCTTTTGGTTGCTGCACAATGTTTGAGGGTGGAGTTTCACTGAAGTAGTGCTTGTTTTCAGGGCAGGGCTTATGTTACGAGCATCCTGGAAAATCATGCTAGGGCTTATTTTCAGGTGTCTTAGGTATAAATTAGAAGCATGAGCTCAGGCGGCACAGTTTTGTGCCATGTTTTAAAAGCGTGTGTTTTCTTTTTAGTCTCGTTTTCCAGTAGATTAGTGCACGTAGGCTTGTCAAATAGCTTTTAAAGGCAAATTCAGTTATTCTGTGGCACAAACTTAAATAATGTAACCTAATTGCATGCACTTTGGTCAGAAGTGCATTTCTTAGTGTCCATGAATGTATATATAATAATTAGGGCAATGAGTTCTGTGATGTGTTATGTTTTTTTCTGCGACCTGTGTCTGAGCTTTTGGGTGGGTTTGAGCATGGTTATGAGTCATCTGGTGAGAAAGGCCAGACTACTAAACATGTTTGAGCTTGTTCATGGGTTCAAACGTAGATTGCAGAGAAATGTGAAATGCCACAGAAACTATCCTCCTAATAGTAATCTAAATACTGTAATAATCTAAGTACAGCAAAGGTGCAAGGAGCCCTCTGGATCAGGCAGTCTCCCCCCACCCCCACCCACGGCCACCAAGGAGGCCCAGTGGGGGGAATCAGACTCCCAGCCTCTGGCTCTGCAGCCAGATGCCCAAACCACTGAGCTCTCCAGCACTTCATTTTTGTACACTGTACACTTGAAACTTTTCAAAACATAACAGAACAGCTTTGTGTCGCCTGTCTCTTAGTGATTGTTGCAGTAATCTGTCTAGAGAGGTTTTTGTGTCCCCCTCACCATAGAGGGAAGGGCTAAGGTGGAGAACAGCCTGCCCAAGACTAGCCCATTTACATCCTGGTAGAGATAACAAACTGTCTAGCTGTGGTTGTGTCAGTAGTGTGAAGCAC